TTATAAATGCTGATGTGGTCGCACGACTTCCCTCACGATTTGAAGTTTGAGACTGGTTTTCGGTTGAAATTCGTCTTAATTTGCCTGTTCCGATTTTAGTTGAAAATGAGCACCGGCACATTTTTCAATTACTGACGGCGTTGCTAGCTTTTTTGGAGTTAAAGCGTAGCCATTTAGAAATTGTTTATGTTCTGAATAAGCAGAGAAAAGCCCGCAAATTTTAATGCGAGTTTGTTTGTTAATATTTGGGTGCTGTCATTGGTTCTTTTTTGACAATTGACGCGCGAATGGGGCGTGTTATGAAAAGGGGCGTTTAACAAAATACCGGGCCTTGCTTGCAGGCCCACTATCAGTTCCCTTGGGCCTGCACGCGGGCTATATATAGCTCCCATATACTTAAAATCGAATACTACTGCTCCCTGGCAAAAAAAAAATTGTTTCAAGTTAGCGCGGCTTTGAGTTAACAGAGTCCGTTCGGATTTCGTTTATTATGTATAGCCGTTTTACAATTCACCACAGCCTAAGTCAAGCAGTATACATATCAACCAGATCAGTAACGATCAACGCAACTTGTTGAACCTTTTATTACGTTTGTATAAATTATCTACCGATATGTTCTAACATTTAGGTATACCGATCCACGTCTAAAAAAATACAGTTAGAATTACAGTAACCGGGTTCAAGGGAAAATGAAAATTGTTCGAGTTATAATTAACGTTCGATGTAGTATAGCGGGGTATCAGGGGTTCTATAGTCTATACTTCCATACAATGCTGACATGCTCTATTCAGCGGTTGTTTATATGTTACATAGTGCATCAATAAAGCACATTGCACATATCACAGAAGTTTCAGAACTGACCAAATAGTGATGTAAATACGTACTGTACTGTACTGTACTGTACTGTACTGTACTGTACTGTACTGTACTGTACTGTACTGTACTGTACTGTACTGTACTGTACTGCACTGTAGATGTACTGTATAATAAAAAGCAAACAATCGTCGAATGCTCGACCTGAGTCCTGACGACAATTTTCGAAATTCATCATGTATAATAAAAACCATAGACGACAATTTCCGAAACAACCTGACGACAATTTCCGAAATTCATCACCATATGAATGTCAGTTAGCCGCTGAGAACCTCGTTTTCCAGACGAACAGGGGAAAGGATTTACAAAACACAAGTTTTCTCTTTAGGCCGCTAATGTAAGTTACTGCAATGTAAGCATAACATTTCTTCAATTCAAAATATGTATACGACATAAATGTTAAAGCTTGCTATACAGATTCTTGTTTATAGTTGTTAGTGGTTAATATAATTGTTAACTACTAATCCCTTGTTTTTATTTTTAAAATAATTGTTTTTCACTTATCTTAAAAGAAATGCCATGCTTTACAGTATATTGAACAGTTGAAACTACTTGTGATGTATACAATACGCTGGTCGTCATTAAATGTTTGGAAAACAATTAAGCTTCTATCAGTGGCCACTTTTTATTGAATTTAAATTTTATGCTCATTGACAAGCAGTCAAGCCACCTACTGAAATGTATCCTTTATAAAACTTGAATCCAAAGAATCCGAAAATGTAACTTGTATAGTATACATTACATATTTACATACTGTATATCTCAGTGACAGATTTATAGAAATCGGACTAAAAAAGCTTATCCTAGTAAAATTCGCTATGGTGTCCCATTTACAGCATTCTAAATATTTTATTTATGCTGCATGGAGAGTCTGTAGTTGCATTGTTTGCATGCAAGTTGATGCAATTGCTTTACTGGTCTATAAATATGTACAGTATGACCATGTATGTTTTCCATACAACGTATTTTGATCTATCATATTATAGTCCATACACTATATAGCACCATGCACCTGTTTATCCTAGTACACACGAACTAGCTTTTGATACTTGTCAACTTGTCTCTGAGGTGTAGAGTAGTATAGTTCATTGGTCAGAGTGTAGCACTGGAATGACAAGGCCACAGATTTGATGCCCAGACAGCCTACTGTAATATTTACTGTTTCTGATTAGAGAGATCAATTTTGCTACAGCACTGTACAGTATGTGAGCTCACTGATATAATATTCACAAGCTCCTTTAACCTAATGAAGTGCATTTCCTCTTGACATGCAAGTAAAATTGTTCGGCACTAGACATAAAAAAATAATCTACTGTAGCTAGCATAAACAATCATAAAATATATGGAGCATTTAATAGGCACATTGCAGCTTAATGGATTAAAAAAATGTCATCCCAGGTAGAGTTTGTTATGCATGTATACAGGGGCATACAATAATTTACTTTAATTTGCAGCGGCAGTGCACCAGGTACTAGGATGCAACTAATATTTAATAGTTTTTTCAAAACGTTTAAATTTTTTCTACAATGCAAACATATTAAGTGACAGCAGAAAATGACTGGCAGGCACATCTTATTATTCACTTTTATTTTGTTTCGAGTATGTGAATTATGTTAAATTGTGTCACAAATATAAAATTTTAGTAAATCTACAGTGAATTAATATGCTTCATAATGTCCTTTTAAAATATGGTATATATATGTACCTACTGTATAAGACAGTGTACTTATGTTCAGGGGTCGTCAGGTTGATAAAGCTTATATAATTATTGGGCCGCTGAGACCAAGGTCGGTCAAATTCTTAATTGGTTACTATTATAATTACAGTAGCTTATTATATTATTCATTTTGAAATCAGTGGTGTTCCTGCAATCATTATTATTAATTGTAGTTAATTTTATATGTTGGATGTGATGTTTTGACAGTAAAGTCAGCAAAATTGTGAAGCTTCCTACGGCGTAATATATTTGGGCCAGGGCATGCCCCCCCCCCTGACAATTTTGAAAATTACAAGCCTATTAAATGCATTTCTAGACAATTTCCATAATAATAGTAACCATGTATATAACAGTATGAAATTTACAATATTCCGATATTGACAGGATACCAAAAATTTGGTTGTGGATACCAAACTGTGCATGACTTGTATCTCGACTGGATACTAAGAATATTTCAAACGATCGAAGAAAATGTTAAACACCTTTGACAATTAGCTAGCTCCTGCTATTAACTTTTGAATATTATCAATTTACGACCAGTTTTTCCTCATTGAGGACTTGCATATTATATAGAAGTTTGTTGAAGAATTATGTAGATTTTAGTGTATTAATTAATGAAATGGAACTGTTTTAACTTGTTAACTGTTGCATGAGCAGGGCTCGAAACTTGCGGTATCCCGATATCCACAGGATATCAGATTTTAATTTTGGATACTGGGTATCATAAGCTCAGTATCCCAACTGGATACTAGGAAAACTTAGAAATTGCGATAGTAGATAATCATCTAGACGTTTGGCATGTTTCCGAACTTCAATGTCTACGGATTTTGGCAGAATATTTAAAAAAAAACATTTCACAAACGGTGCTTTCTTTCGTATCGCTGCAGTGTGTTATGTTCAATTTTTTCGAATTTCAATACATATTTTTATTATTGAAACTAAAGGCCTGGTTTTTGCTCAGCAACTGAAGGCCTGGTTGCAAGGTAAAATTTTGCCTTGCTTAGATACTGGAAATAGAATATCTAGTATCCAAATCTGGGTTACTATATTTCAAGGATGGATACTAGATTCTATGATGCTGGTATCCACTTGGATACTGACAAAAATTTCAAGTTTCGAGCCCTGTGCTGAGTCTATGGAAATGTATTTGGATGGGACACGGTATAATACTTATGGTACAGGTAACCAGTATCCAGAAGTGAGAATGTGAGATACTTTATTCTCAGGGGGATACCAAATTTGTATCCTGGTACATCCCAGTTGGATATTGAGAAAAAAAAATTTCAGGCCCTGATGTACGTAATAATACACTAGATGATAACAGACAGATACAGTTATATAGTAGTAAGAATTGTTGCCGATGATTATCGTACGTGTATGTAAAAGAACAATTACACAAATATGCAATGGTCAAGCCAAGTGTAAACTACTCTGCTTTGAAAATCATGTTCAGGCACGCTTAAAACTGCTTCACTGGCTGTACTAGAAGCCCAAAACACTTTCAAAACTATAAATATATGTTTCACCTTTCAAACCTGATCATTTTGGTTAAGCCAAGGAGAAATATATTTCAACATTGCATACAATGCTTGTGTACCAATTAATCAACCATCGGAAATCCAATCAATCAATTCATGGTATCGATGTTAATTACATAATTGATATTGATTGACATTGGTCAACTGATGACCAATCAATAGTCACAAAATGTTATGGCCAATTTTATCGATTATTATCAATATTCGTCAATTTTTATCGACAAAATGCTTTTGATTTTTATCGATTTATATCCTAAATAGTCGCTGCAAGTCGGCGTGTTCGAGCTAAATAGTAAATCTGTTACATTTTTCAAAGGTACACATCTATGATTGCATGCATATTAACAGAGGATTTTTTCATCAGTGAAAATCGATAATCAATCGATGAAAGGTCACAGCAAAACAAGCCATTGATAATTCATCGATTTCCAATATCAATCGATCAATAAATATATCGACTGGTATTGATTGATATCGATACTCATTGATTATCGATTTCATTGATTAAGTACGCCAGGAGATTGTTTATCGTAGGTTTCAGGTAAGCAGTTTAATTTTTGCCTGTCGTTCGTGAAAATCACCTGGAATTGACAAGTAGACAGGTGGTTATTTCGAACCCTATAAATTAAATGTACCAGGTGATTCCTTCATAGCTTTTTGTTCCATTTACAGCCGGATTCTTGTATATTACCAAAGTCTGGTGGTCAATATTATTAAATTGACACTCATTATTATTCCTATTTTACATTTCCTGTTGCAAAACAATTAGCAGCACGTACGTCTCATGCAAAAGCAACAAAGCATGTCGTATTGAATACCGGTAGTTTGTATCTTTATAACGTTCCATATTTATTTTAAAACATTATACTTACATATAGGCACCCCCAAAGCCAGATCATTCGACATTGTGCAAAACAGTCCATAAACACCGGCCCTTCCTATGTCCCTTGTAAACAGTAACGTTACAATCGTCACTCCAACAAAAACAATACATTTCGACAGGGTCACAACAAGCACAAACATCCATTTTACTTTAGAAAAGTCGATGGTGGCAATCGCCCGGAATATAAAAGCGGGCAATGTGGGATAAATGGCGAATTTACTAATTCCTTTGGCTTCTGTTGCAGATATTACGCCCAAGCGTCCTGTAATATAACCCAAAATGATCACAGCAAATACACGAATCAACGCCGGGTACAGATCGTCGAAAGTGTCATGGCTCACACTGCTTGAGGAAGTGTTGCCAGCAGAGTTTGAAGAGTTTCCGTACTGCAATATTTCCATTACATTATACTCTTACAGGTATAAATACGATTGGAAACTTCGTTCTGGTCCTCCTGGACAGCTATTAAAATGTAAACTGATTCAACTTGTTATTAAACACCACTGATTAAAAGTAAACACAAATCACACCGTATGTGACATACTAGCCTAGCCTGCTTAGCCTGCGAACAGGCTCTTTGAATTGAATTAGAGCCTGCCGAGTTAGTCAATAAAAATACGGAAATTGCTAGATAGTATACTTCAAAATAAGGTTTTCGTTTTTATATCATTTTTTAGATAAGTTAGGGTTAGGTTAGGGTTATGGTTAGGTTAGGGTTGGGGTTAGGGTTAAGTTTAATATTAGGGTTAGTGTTTAGTTTTGCGTTAGGATGGTTTTTTCTATGTTATAAAAACGGAAATCTTATTTTGAAGTATACTATCTAGCAATTACCATAAAAATACGTCTGTGCCCATCACTATTTATAGTGTTGTCAATCAAATGTAAAATACAATGTGAGAAATTATACAGACATGCCTTATGTAATAGCCTGCGAATATATGTAAACAAAACGCATATCTCGATTTCAACGCATGATTGTTTACAACATTAAAATTAAAGCATTTGTCTTTCTTTCAAACAACCCTGAAATTCCCTGAAGTAGCAATAGTAAGTGAATTCACATAAACACCGCAACGACTTGAGTTTGAACAATTACGGCGTACTGGAATGCTCAAGAATGCAAATTATAGTCGCCTTTGTCTCAGAGTAAAGATGATATAAGCAGTTGCCGGTGTATTTGCCAAACTGTCTTATACAGCAAAAACATCGTTTCCGTCTAGAGTATTGTTAAGAGCTTTTGACTGCCCATCCTTTACTGTAACTTTAAACAAAAATTTAGTTTTCTATACAACTCGTCGCTATAGAACGATATTTTTTATGTGAATCTTTTGTTGTGTAAATTTAATTACCTTTTATGGCAGTATAATGTAGTTAATTCAATTCCAACCAATTTCAATTTCAATTCCAACCCTGCGTCGTTCTAAGCAACGCACAGACGCGTTTTTATTAGCTAGGCCTGCAGGCTCTCTCTCAAATTTCAAAGAGAGTTCAAATAAGAGAGCCTGTTCGCAGGCTAAGCCTGCTCGAAGTGACATACTGACATATGACACAGACCAAGAATACGGTAGCCTCCATGGCAGGCGGTCTAAAATACCGCCTGCTGGGTTTGGCAGTGTAATTTGATAACCGCCCACTTTTTTGTCCGGGTCCAATTAGCCAATCAGCAAACACTAAATATATTTTAAAATAATCAATCTGTCAAACTATGTTATTGTTTGGTCGCAAAATTGCAAATGTATAAAAATATGTCGAAAGAAACGCCATTGAAAGTTTCAAGCAGAACCGAATAAGGCGAATAACGACGAGTGTCCCTATATGTCGTGTGTCGTGGGTCGTGGGTTAAAAGTCGTGTGTCGTGGGTAAAGTCGTGGGTAAAGTCGTGGGTCATAAAATGTGCTAAAAACGCATTTTTCATATTTTTATTTTTAATATTTTTTTCGTACTTTCTCATTTTATGTGCTAGATAAATACAGGAAAATTTAACGCAACAAATCTCCAGTAATAAAACAATTTCTTATCTTGCTGTTATCTATAGTATAACAAGACGCCTGCTCAGGCGTTCACACTGGCCTGAAAATAACGAGATACGTGCTATGGTGCAAAAGGCAGGAATACAAATCTTAAACCGCAAGCAAATTTTATGGACTTTTTAAAAAAAAAGACCTTTTCGGTCTTAATGGTGCAAATCTAGTACTAGGAGTTACTATTGCAAGGAAAGTGCTGCCTTTATGGCGTATGAACTGAATACAAAAATTTATACTTCTAGACAATTCTCGGTTATATTATCCCCAATGTTTCCTTCTCGTTTATCATTTAAGCCCGTTCACAAACTCATTTTTAAATTGTGTGCACGGAATACGAGTAAATAGCCAACATGAAAAT